TGACGCTCTTTCGAACGCCGCCTTCTGCGTATCGCTACGTGGCCCAGGAGCCGAGTTACAAGGGGGGGGGGGTGTTCAAACACCCCCCCCCCCCAGCAGGGCGTGGAAATCCAGGACCCCCAGCAGGGCGCGGGTTAAAGCCCTTTCTGAGTAATTCTCTCAGATTTGACCTAACGTCAACGGTTTTGCCACCAGGGGGCAAAAATTGCAAAAATAGCCGATTTGTTCGGAAACAGTTTTTCTGCAATAACTTTTGACTCAAGCCTTGTACGAGCTTACTTTTACCGGTATTGTGTTCCTCTCGTCAAGACGCATCGAATGAACTATAACTTGACCTTGAAAGGTCAACTTGAAAATTTGACCTCAGGTCAAGGTCATGACCTGACCGGAAAGGGTCATGTTGCATATCAGTCGATCCGTATCGTCGAGCTGAACTTATCTAAGGCGTTTTCATCGCTCTAGCATGCCTCTATCAAAAGTTATTTGCGAAAAACTGTTAGATACCATTCATGACCTAAGATGACCTCAGGGCATAAACAAGGGTCACGGACACCATTTTCATGTTCAGTGTGTCTAAACCACTTGTAATTCGGTTTTAGGTAACTACATCATTATGAATGTCGAGTTCGATGGATATTTCAGATGTACTCTGGTGGTGCTTTATGGACCAAACGACGATGACCCATCTTTTTTTGTGGATCTATTTGATAAGATTTTCCACTCATGTGTCGACCAACTACCAGTTATTTTTGTGGGCGACTGGAATTTAGTGATGAACGAAGAAAAAGATACCAAGTTTTATCGACAGATAGGCAATCCTAGAGCTAGAAGGGTAGTGTTAGATGTAATTGAACAAGAAAATCTGATAGATGTTTGGCGAGAGCAGCATTTAAATTTATTAAGGTATACTTGGAGAAAACAAAATCCAGCCAAATACTCTAGACTGGATTTCTTCTTGGTGTCACCAGAACTTTTGTCATATATCACGTCATCGGATATTTCTTATGGGTATAGAACGGATCATAATGCAGTTACAATAACATTCAAGAATCCACAAGTAGATAAGAGAGGCTTATTTTGGAAGTTTAATAATAGTCTGCTTAAGGATGAGAAATTTGCCAATCTTGTCAAGACGGAAATATCACACATTAAAAGGCTTTACGTTTTACCCCCATACTCTATGGAAGCAATACAAGGGGATCCAGATATTCAGTTTACAGTAAACGATCAACTCTTTTTTGAAACCTTGCTGTGTCACTTGAGAGGCATTTGTATTCAATATGCAGCCCGTAAAAAGAGGAATACAAATTTAGAAGAAAAACGCATCGTCAACAGGTTACAGAATCTAATGAATGATGCAACAGGCGACTCTAGGGTTATCGAGGAAGAAGAGAGACTGAGGAACGAACTTTATCTGATTCGGGAGAAGAAGGTAGAAGGGATGCTTCTTCGGGCAAAAGCCAAATGGATTGAGCTCGGTGAGCGTCCAACAAGATATTTTTGTTCTCTCGAAAAGCGCCAATATGCTAGAAAGTACATAGGTAGTTTAGAGGTAAATGGGCATGAAACCCATGACCAAAATGTAATAATGAGCCATTTGAAAGATTTCTTTGAGGAAGTATTTAGGTCTAAAGGGAGGCGTAAGAAGCTAGGTGATATCAGGCACCGACTGGGCGATAATTTTCCGAGACTTTCAACGGATGAGAGAATGGAGATAGAAGGAATGCTATCTGTTCAGGAGGCAAGTAGTGCGGTGGCTAAATTGCATAATGATAAATCTCCTGGACCTGACGGCTTTACGTCGAACTTTTTCAAGTTCTTTTGGAAAGATTTAGGAATATTCTTAGTCAGATCCCTAAACTATGGTTTCGAAAATGGTCAGTTGTCCATCTCTCAGAAACAAGGCATGATTACTTTAATCCCGAAGAGTGGAAAGCCAAAAGATAGAATAGAAAACTGGAGACCTATTTCTTTGTTAAATACGACTCAAAAAATACTATCAGCAGCGATAGCAAATCGTCTGCGTAAGGTAATGGACAAACTGATATCTGTCAATCAGAAGGGGTTTATGAAAAACAGATATATAGGGGAATGCATCCGAACAGTATATGACATTATGTGGGACGCCAAGCACGCAGGCTTTGATAAAAAGGGACTGATCATATTTGCAGATTTCAAAAGGGCGTTTGATACTCTTAATCACGTCTTTATTATTGAAACGCTGGAACTTTTTAATTTTGGTCCGGAGTTGATCCGATGGATCAAGATTATGTTGACTGGAGCAAATTCATGTATAACTCAAAACAAGACTTCGACTGATTTTTTCCCGATAAGCCAAGGTTGTCGGCAGGGTGATTGTATTTCACCGCTGCTTTTCATTCTCTGCGTAGAAGTATTAGGGATTATGATACAGAATGATGCTTCCATTTCAGGATACAGGATAGGTGATGTGGAAAAAAAAGTTGAACAATATGCAGATGACTGTACTTTTATCTTAGATGGAACGTATAGCAGTTATACTAGTTGTGTGGAAACGGTATCCGAGTTCAGCTTGATTTCTGGTCTGTTCCTAAACATGCACAAAACACAACTTTTGTGGCTAGGGTCTTTTCAGGCTCCTGCGTTTGTAACTGATTCTTCGTTTGATGTTATTAAAGAAAAATTCAAGTACTTGGGCATTATTTTTACAAGCAACATGCTAGATATGAGCTCCATAAATTTTGAAGCAAAAATGATCGATATTAGAAACCTTCTGAAGGGGTGGCTCAGAAGAAAGCTTACTGTGTACGGTAAGCGCACGGTACTCAAAACGCTAGCACTTTCGAAACTAACGAACCTATTAACTGTATTACCTGGTCCTCCAGAAGACCTTATCGTAAAACTTCAAAGACAGTTTTTCAAGTTTGTCTGGGACAATGGACAGGATAAGATTAAACGTACTCATATGATTAGGAAGTTTGGTATCCCTTGTTTGCGTACTTTTAATGATTCCATGAAATTGTCGTGGATTAAAAGAATAATATGCTCTGATAAGGATTATGAACATGTCATGCAAAATGTCATTCCAAACAGTCAATTATTATTTACGTGTGGGGATTTGAGTGGAAAGAAAATGGAATCGGTAAGAATGAATCCCTTCTGGCAGGAGGTCGTTAAAGCATGGAATAAGTTTCAGAAAACTTTTCCGGTTTTGTCTGAAAGTATACATTCGCAGCCCTTATGCCTCTCGTCTTTTTTTAAGAGAGGTGGAGAAGCAATTTGGTATAAACGGCTGATTGACTCGGGTAGTGCGTATGTGGGCGATTTCTGGTCATCTGCAGGGAAATGTTTATCATATGTTGATTTTACGCAATCCTATCGAACGAGAATATCAATGATTGAGCACATGGGCATTTTAAGAGCCATAAAAAAGGCCTTTACTGGGCAAGTGCCCTATCGTATGGTAGGACCCAAGATGCAGCCCGCGCTGGAAGCAGTTTTGATACCCTTAACAGGATGCAGACATTATTACAAACAATTAATTAGATTTAACTATAGACCTGAAGAATTGCCCCTTAAATCAGAAGAAAAATGGAATCGGGATTTAGAAACAGAGTTTCAGTGGGACGAACTTTATCGAAGGTTTGTTTCTTGTACAAAGGACACTAGCTTACTGTGGTTTCAGGATAAGATTATGCATCGGATACTGACTACCAACACCTTTGCAGCAAAGTTTACGGATTGCAGTCCCTTATGTACTTTTTGCAATGCTGAACGAGAGACATTACTTCATTTATTTGTTACATGTCACAAGGTAAGGGGTATCTGGGAAAAACTAGAAAATCTTATGAGAAACAAGCTCGGCATTCGAATTAGGATAGATAAGGTGACAATCATAATGGGTATAGGAAAGGATCTGGAAATAGCGGAGGACGTGCAGATCGCTACACAGAGGATCCTTTTGATTGTAAAACGGTATATATACAGGACTAAGGTTGTAAAGAGCTCCCCTAACATTGTAGCGTTGAGGGAGTTCACTAGGCGCTATGGTTTGGCTGAAATAAATAAAAGTTCGTGTCAAGAAAATAGAAAAAGTAGAATACAGCTCGAAGCACATAAACGATTATATGATTGTTTACTTTCCGTGGTCTAAGTTTCACTGGTTGTGTTGTATGTACCTATGTATGTGATGCGTGCTTGTTGGAAGATATGTGTTGGTATGTATAACGAGCTATGTGACTGAGAAAAATAAATAAAAAACCTTAAAAAAAAAAAAAATAAACAAGGGTCACGGACACCATTTTCATGTTCAGTGTGTCTAAACCACTTGTAATTCGGTGTTTGGGAGTGTTTATAATGTCTTTTGTCCAAAAGAGGCGCATTTCAAATTTCTCCCATTGACTTATAATGGGGAGGTCGCAAAATTGACCTGACCTTAGGTCATCGATATCAAAATTCTGAGATATACATTTTGTACATGCTATTGCTCTTAGCAATCGCTGAAAGTTTCAAAGCGATCGGTCACTCGGTGTAGCTATGACAGACATTGAAACTTTTTATGAGGTGAGGTCACTTCAAGTGACCTGGTGACCTGACCTTGAATGACCTTGGTCTGAAATTTTCACAACATGTGTAGAATTGATGTACAATAAGGTGTACCAAAAACGGCGGCGCTCCGCGCCGCCGTTTTTGAGATATTCGCGAAAAACCACAAGGGGGGGTGTTCAAACACCCCCCCCCAGCAGGGCGCGGGTTAATATACATTGGTTACCATGTTTTGATAATGCCAGATCCGCTCTGTCACAATGGTAATGACAAAAACATGGGAGCAGAACCAGACTAAAAATGATAAATGATGCAGGTAACTGATGGTAAACAATACGCAATTTTATTGGGGGAGGCAACTGAAAAAGCTAGGGATTTGATGGAAGTCTCGATAAGATGTGAAGGACTAACATAAGATAATATTGAAGAAAAAAATATGTGAAACGCGCTTCGGCGCAACATCTTTTGCGAAAGCCTTTCTCAACGCAAACAAGTTTCCTTTATTCGCACAATATACTCGTATATCTTAAATGGAAATTGACGACACTGCCTAAGGGCTAATGATAGCCACATCTAAATTACAAGTGATATGAAGAAATTTACATCATATTAATGACACTCAACCCTTTCTCTTCATTCCAGATGTATGTAGCTAAAAGAAAGCAGTCAAAATATTCGTTAAAACAAACTACTCGCAAGCACACACGCATAAGTACCTCCACACGCGCCTTGTCAAAACACTGCTGTTGTATCTGAAAAAGAACTTAATACGTGTTCTACGAACATCAACAATTCACTCCATATTCAATGCAGCATGACAGGTACCACTTGGATGAAGTATTAAATTAGGATGCCTCCCATCTCCAGCACTCCACAATAGACTGAATAACTAATAGTTATCGAAAATACCGTATGAATTAAATGTCATTAGATTGCTACTGATTCCAGATTGATACCGAAGGATCTCAAGTAGCTATCCTCTATCGGATGCCTGATTCTGTTGGCCTCGATCCTAGCTGACCCTGATGAAGAGCTTCTGAAAGAATTCGGTGCTTCTACATCAAGAATAAAGGGGCAAAACACTGATCATGATGCATCAATCATCCTCCAGACAATACGAACAGCGAGGGAATGTGTCAGATCGTAAAGAACGAGCTCGTAGCCAGAAACACCATGCATAGAGAAGCATTGTTACTTGGTGCCTTTCCGCCATAACAGGAACAAAGACATTTGAGCAAATAACTACATTCAAACTAAAGCTATTGTTAACAATATTCTTGATCACATATTAAGCTAACCTATAGAAAACGCCTCAGCCGGAATCAAAGACAAGCAGCACTAGCGATAGCACCGCACTGAGCGCGGCCGACGACCGAACGACTGCTCCGGGAAGTCGCTCTGACCTTGACCCGGCTGAGGTCACAGCTCGGGTCGGCGCTGTCGGGCCTGGCTCGATTATCGCGTTACTGTGATTGGTTGGCACCGACTCATTGCAGTAGGGCGCTTGGCAGCAGGAGACACATGTCTGGAAAAGGCAGAAAAAAAGCTCAAAACTCACTTTCTGGTTGTGAAGGGGAAGAGCATCTGCAGATACAAAGCTGTGATCAAATAAAAAAGCGAATTTATCAGTACAATAATGACCACATAAAGCTGAATTCCATCCATGAAAACAGGGGGAATACGTAATTCATGCTTATTTCTTTGGCAAGAAACTTTGTATTGCTACAATTTATTTATTTATTTATTTGTTGCACATCCTTCCATGCAGGCATAGTTGTTTCAGGATGGCACATGATCAGGGAACCACTATGCACAATGCACATGCACTTTCCTCGAGCCGCGTTCGAGTTCACTAAAGAGGAGAAAAAGAAAAAAACAGGACCAAGGCAACACTTTAGACCACTTCAGCATCAAACTACACATTTCGTGGTGGCCTGATCGCCCGCTTAAAAGCAAATATGCTGGACATGCCTTGGATCTCTCGGGGCAGCCGGTTCCATGCCGAGCCAGCCCTGTACATGAAGTGTTTTTGAGTGGCAATAAGCCGCACTTTCGGTAGGTGCACCTGCGCTGTGTCTGTCAGGCGCGTGTCACGAGTCGCCACATCACATCGACGTTTGAACATGTCTTGTACCACGATTGGTGCATGGGGATCGCAGATTGCGCGGTGCACCTTCAGTCGATCACGCTCCTCCACCAGCTCGCCAATCCGTGACCAGTGGAGCGACTTAAGAACTGGTGTGATGTGATCACGGCGCTTCGAACCGGTCACCAAACGAGCCGCAAAGTTAATCATTTTTTGCAGTCGTTTAAGTTCTTTGTCGGCAGCTCCGCCCCAAACTGGTTAGCAGTAGATAATTTGAGGGAAGATATGAGCTTTGATAATAGTAAGCAGGGCCTCGGTAGTGAAGCTACGCCTGAATCTGTAAAGCGAAATCAATATGCTGTAGCAACGGCGCACAACTGATGAGATGTGTTGATTCCATGTTAACGTCTGGTCAACAGTTACACCAAGAAGTTTGATCGTTTTTGAAGAATGAAAGGTTCTGTTTGAGAACGTGAAAGCGAAACCAGATGCTTTTTGAAGCGAGTTTCTGGTGCCAAGGAGGATGAAATCTGTTTTTGATGCATTCATTTTTAGAGAATTACGTCTAAACCAGTTTTGAACGGAAGCCATTGACTTTTCTATGCGCTTTCTGAGCTGTGACAAACTATCACTGTCTGGCGGCGAGCTGTCGAGGAGCTGCGTGTCGTCCGCATAGCAGACCAAACGGCCGTAGGGAAGATGTCCCGGAAGATCTGCCACAAATATGCTGAACAAAATAGGTCCCACAATAGATCCCTGAGGAACACCGAAGTTCACAGGACAGATCTTGGACCCACCTCGTACCATTTGCCCCCGTCCGCTTAGGTAACTGTCGAACCAATGTGAAGGCACACCCATCCATGCCATTTTCTTCAAGAGGACGCCGTGGTCAACACTGTCGAAGGCCTTACTGAGGTCGATCGTCGTTATCGACGTGAGCTCACCGTTGTCGATCTTATCAACGGCCCACGATACTGCGTCGAGTACGGCGTCCTCCGTGGAGTGGCCACGGCGGTAAGCGTATTGACATGCGCTCAGTAGACGGTTGTCATACAAATAATCACTCAACTGGGTGCACACTACACGCTCAGCGATTTTAGACATGACAGGCAGTAAAGAGATAGGCCGGTAATTACCAGCTACACCACGGTCGCCAGCCTTATGAATGGGGACCACACAAGCTATTTTCCAGCTATCAGGAAACACACCAGTAACAATCGACTTATTAATCATATGAAGCAGCAATGGTCCAATGACGGCGAAGCAGCGACGCACAGCTAAAATTGGCACACCATCCATACCAGCAGCCCTGGAGCTACTCATGTGACGCACGGCTGTTGAGAGCTCCGGCAGAGTGATAGGCGTCAGCTCAAAACCGGTGGCGCATACTACTGGGGGACGATCGTCAGTCCCCTCAGCCTGACCAGTAGACTGCAATTCAGATGCAATTTTGGCGCCGACATTAGCAAAGAAATCATTAAAATTGTCAGCTTGAGCGACATCAAGATGTAATGACGTAGGAGCGCCATCACCAGCCGATGCATTCTTAGCAAACAAATTGAAGCGACTCCAGAACCCACGGAAGTCCTTAGCTGCTAGCTGACTACACAAAAATTCTTTTCGCGCACGTACGAGTCTACTCTTGACCGAGTTACGTAGGGCACAGTACTCACGTCGGAGATCATTCGATTGAAACATGAGCCAATTGTCACGGGCCTGATCGCGCTTCAACATAAGTTCACGAAGCTCTGGATCGTCTTGAATCCACGGGCAAGGCCCCGCACGACCAGACTTCACTCGCATCACTGGACAATGCCGGTTGATGATATCATTCCATGCGCGCATAAAAATACTCAGCTTTCCGTTAACATCTGGCTCATCGAACATTGGTGTCCAGTCCGTAAGCAACAAATCGAGACAAATGCGATCCCAATCTGCCCGCTCCCATCGTCTGGTCTCACGGATGACTGGTGCTTTACGGATCTTCGTCAGCGGTACGGAGCAGATTACGGGCTGATGGTCACTCAGGGTGTCAGCTAGTACCATCACTGAGTCACTCAGGTCGGCGCAGTTTGTGATTATATGGTCCAGCGTTGTCGGTCTGGGTGACAGGTGCGTTGGTTCGCTGACCAGCTGATGAAGGTTGAGGTCTGTCAGGAGCTGCAGGTATCTACGCACGCTGGATGCCTCATGGTCGGACGCATCTATGTTGACATCCCCAAGCAGGAGCAGCGGTCGTCCTTTCAACAGCGCCGTTTGTAGCTGACCATGGAGCGAGTCCAGAAAGCTGGACACTGCGCTGTCGGGCGGCCGATATATGGCGCCCACCACTGCTGAACGCCCGCGGTGAGACACCAGCAACCACAGGGCGTCAACCACCGGATCGGAGTTTTCCACCTTTAGTACCTCCACACTAAGATAGTCTTTGTAAATTATGGCCACACCACCTCCACATACAGTCTTGCGGCCTTTGCGAGGCTGAATTCTGTCGGCACGGCAAACCTTATAGCCTGGAAACACGAGAAAGTCTGTAAGCACATCTGAGGTCAGAAACGTTTCTGACAGGCACAGCAGGTCCAGTTTTTCTCTCAGTAAGAGCGCATTAATATCTTCCAGCTTGGCTGTCATAGAACGGATATTCAGGTGCCCAATTGTCATCGCACCTCTCTCTTGGCGATTGAGCGCCACCTTCGGGATCACAGGCGCTTCCACCTTCGTCTCCACCCTGGACTGGTGTGGACAGCGGCCGGAGGGATGCTGCAATCTTGTATCAGACTGACCGGCACATTGATCATCTGAGCAGCAGGACCTGACACTCAGCAGTGCATGGGTTCCTCTCTGGTTTAATCTAAAAAACCATTCACTTCACTGATGATAACCTGGGAGACATTTCTAGCTCCCTCCCATGTATACATTTTGCCAGTTCTGTTGATGCCTTGGTGGGGGCAATCCATCAGGCGATCTCGCATGTCCAAGAACCGTGCTCCATAGGTCGCACAGAGGGAAGGTAGCTGCTCGTTGATCAAGCTGATCTTTTCCGATATGGCTTGATCTATATCTCTTCTTTCAATCAGTGAGCAGACCACAACGTCGCGGACGTTGTGTCGGCCCTTTGCCGTGGTGATCATGTGTGCAATGCCCTCTAGAGCATGATCAGCTTCAGAGTGGACCATGTCACTTCCTTCAGGGTGAAGGACCACATCAACGGCGTCAGCATGGGTCTTCCTTACAGCAGCGATGAGTCGTTGCCTTGTTTCGGCACAACTTGTGTCCTGGGAAGATGAGAAGATGACATTGCTGCCAAAGTTGAACTCTTTGGCTGCTGCACCTATGCGCCTGACGTTTTCGCCACCGACCAGAACGGCTCCATTGGGAATGCAGTTCCGTTTTCCCGGTCTTCTTTTCACCAGCGTCCAACCTGAGTCTTCCTCGGTTGTCGCGGTGTTCGTCGAGCTGACCGTGCCGAAGTTGCTGCTTTCTGAAGCGTTTGTGGCGCCATGTGATGCCTTTAAACTTGTCGAATCTGCCTGAGGTTTCGAGTCAAAGTTGACTTTTGTTTGAGAGCTCTGCTGTTCCGTTACAGAAGGCTGGGAAGTGTTCATCTGTGTGCTTTGAACAGACTTATTTGTACTCTGTCGTTCAGTGATGTCATGATGCAGCTTCGTGCTGGCCGCTACCATAGCAGCTGCACAGAGCGCTCCGAGCTCATCAACTGAGCTGCTGAGGTTCTTGCAGTGAACATGATGTCCCTTCAGGTTCAGTTCATTCACGTCATTTCCTATCCTCTTTACTACAGACCACAGCTTATTCATGTCTAGTGGATCTGCAGTGTCAATCAAGTAAGAGCATTTTCCTTCCTTCTCTGCTTTCAAACTTCCCATCAACTCCGTCATTTGGACACCCATAGCAGAGATTAGATCACCTTGAGTAGTAAGTTGGTCCTGAAGTATTTTTATTTTCATCTGTAGCTCCCTCATTCGCGTTCTTTCTTTTGTTTTCATTGTAGTTGATAATAACAACGTTTTTCTCAATACAAAAGTTCTGAATGGAGGGTCAACAACGCTCAAGCGAAAATTCTTGTTTTGATGGTGCTTAGCTCACAACGTCACGTTTTCCCGATATTTTTACGTTATGTTCCGTAGGCAGTCGAATGTCGGCATCGGGACAAATATGACGCTTTTAGGTTTTCTGGCTGTCCTCACCTGGTTATGAATGGAGGCCTTTTTCCATTATTTGTTGAAAATCTTGACTGAAAAAGTAGATGAAGATGACGGGCGCAGGAATCTCTAACAAATGAAACAGTTTTCGTAACTCGATAAACTATTTCTAACTTATAACGATGCTACAAACGCGGAGCTCCCGTCTGTGCTGCCACTCAGCTCTGCGCCTGCGCAGAGTACAATGATGCATGACTCACGCTCTGTCTGTCCTGCTCGAGGCATCCCACCAGGTCGGGCCGGCACTGGTCGGCGAAGGCGCAGTGCTTGTTGACCACCACGCTGTCACCAACACTGTCCATGATGTGCAGCGTCCGGCAGAACTCGGTACCTGCAGGCGAGGACCCTTTGTTATAAAGTACGTAATGACGCTGGTTACTCTATCGATACAGATCGTGAGATATCTCGTCATGATCGGCTAAATGATTTGGTCAGTACCTACAGCAAAGTCTTCAAAAACGCCTATTTTAAAATGACTTTTGCTTTTCAGAGCCTAAGATACATATGTTTCATACGAAATTACTTGAATAATAGCTTATTAGCCCGGCGGCCGCTGGGCCTCCGCGCCACCCGCCGGCCGTCGGGGGGAGGGGCATATAGTTGCCCCCCTTTACTTCTGCGACGATATTGTCGCAACACTAAGAAATAGAGAAGCGAAACCTTGCACACATCTTTCTGCATACCTAGCCGAAATTGTGTCAAAATTTGGTGTCGATCTAATTTGAAATGACTTCACAGTGACGTCATAAGTCAAATTATAGATTTGCGACTCTCAGTTTCCTCACTGGGACCGAATATAAAGAGCCGATTATTGGTAAGGAACTAGATGAAAGTGTACTTAGATGTTTTAGGATGACAGCAGGTGCTGTCTAGTTCATTTACAGTTGAGTTTCATGCTCAGCGACATCAGAAATGATCCATATCGGAAAACGAAAAATCTTTATGACGTCACTGTGACGTCATCTTAAGTGCTACAACCACCAAACTTTCCTCAAACATTGCCTAAGTATTCATTTGAAGCTATGCCAAATTTCTAGTTCGTAGATCATCAGGTTTAAGAGATATTTCACAAAACGTAAAGGGGGCAACTTTATGTCCCCCCCCCCAGCGGCTCGTGGGTTAGGTTACATGATGTGTCCTTCAACATTTAGTCCTTAGTCAAAGACGATTTGGTGGCGGGGTTTTACCATTTATAACTGAAAAAGCCAAACAAAACGATTCGTCTAAGACAGGAGCCCACTGTTGCGCAAAGTCATCAGCGCTGGGCAATTTTACGACACGTTTAACCACGGCAATTTTACAAATGGACACCATTCCACCACTGCTCGCACAAGTGTAGGCCACGAACTTCTAGAAATCAAGTTCAGGCAAAGAAGTTTTCATTGGGTGGCTACGAAACTTAGCCGAACTAATCTAGCATTGAGGAGATGTAAGACAGGATGACGTTGCACTGAATATTTGTCCTGAATTGTTGATAAGATCATTTTCTCTTTTTCCTAAGACATTTGCGCTTACGTGAGTCTTTTGTAATCATTTGTTTGCAGATGTTTCATGGATTTTGCACAATGCACATGCTGACAAGCATATTTTTGTGGGTGTTAAAAGGTTTGTTTTATGAAACCCCTAACATCTCAAATTTATTTTAAGAAATTACCACCCTTTGCGACGTCAGTAAGGATAACTAGTTTCTCTTCTGCATCGTCCCACATAATGACCTACAAACACCCCCAGCATATTGCATTCCGCAAAGAAACCGCGTGAACCAACTCAACGAACTGCCCTTCGTTTCAGAAGTTTAAACTTCTTCGAACGTTCGAGCAACTTCAGTCCATTCTTTCTCCGCGGCTGAGACAATGAACCCCCTGACCCCTGACCCTACAGCGCACCTGCAGCCTCCCCTCCCCCTCCTCGACCTTACCGATCCCGTCGCGCGGATGAGCCCTCTAAGTTACGACCTGGCGGAAACGAGCCAGTAGCAAGCTGAGCCCACCGGCCGGACACGTGCCTCAGTTTCAAGCGCGAGCCCGTGCAGGCCAATACTGTTCACGTGAGCTGAGAGCCAATCAGGGCCCGGTGCGGCCTGGGCCAATCTCTGCAAACGAGCGGCCGACCCAGGTGGGAGAGCCTCTCCGGCGCGATCGGTGTGAAAACACGCGGCCGGCACGGAGCCGACACACAGATTGCCGTGAATTATTCATTGTCTGGAGGCGAACAGATTGGGACCGGACGTTCGTCGCCATCGGTGACGATTGCTGTTTGGTCTGTGCAATATTGCTGCCAGTGGATCCTATTTAGATAGCACCCCGCATTGAATGGACCATTGTGGGTGGTGCCTTCTGAAGGCGTTAGGCGGCACGGGCGGACATCGATAGCAGCGCCTCTATCGGTCACTAGGGAAAGCTGGGCTGTAGGCGACGAAATACCGGCTGAGTTGTCACACGTTGAATAGGTTTATAGACATCCGTCTTGTGAAAAAGTTGAACTTTTGCCTTCAATATTTCTACAGGCAATTTTAGAAGTGTCTTCACATGGATTACAAAACCGTTTAGATTATTGTATTCACTTCAAGCCTTCCCTATTGTTCTTGACGATGATGCGGGAACTATTTCTAATTAGTGTTTCTAGCTTAGTAAAAGAACATATTGTGCAAACGATGAGAAAAGCATAAATGGAAGATTTTAAATGCAATTTTCTCTAGCAATTAATGGTATATTCTCTACAGATCAAGGAAAAGGTGCATGCTAACTGATAATTTAAAGTTCTTGGGGCCAGCTGTTTTCTTCTTTTCTTACGTCGCCCCAATGGCCGCGAATACACTTGTGATAACGCCTATCGGGCAGCCACTGTAAAGAACAAATAAACAAAGCTATAAAACTGTTTTCTTGAAAAAAATATACCAAAACTTGCAATTAGAATAATTGATTTTATGGCGGATATATGGAAGGATGACCAAATACCAAATGTGTGACCAGTGTATAGTTGGGAGGAGTATGTGTATCGCCGATCAGATATTTTCTTATTCCTGCCTCCCCACCGCGCAGCATACCCAAAGAGTTGTCGGCGGCCGGCCGGTGCGCTCCTCATCTATTATCGCTGATCGCCACTGGGTGATCAATCGCTGCGGAGAACGTGCCACAGATCAGGGCACGTAAGCGGCAGGCGCCGCCACAGGGGCCGGCTCTGCCATAGGGGTGGGCAGAGAGTCCGAGGCGGTGGGCCCCGCGCTGTAGCGAGTGCAGTGCGATTGGAGAGATGTAAGGTCAAGGTCGGCTCTTTAACATGGAACCTCAGCTTCAAGATGTCACAGTTTTGAGATGGAAATAGCGTATTAATGAAGTGACTGCATGCGTCAAGTTAAACTTCAGCTAGTAGAACTCACCTGGCGGACAAGGCATGTCGATGGCGAAGCGGTTACAGATGTAGTTATTCTGAACGTTTTCACAAAAGTAGCACGATAGCGGGTTCACTGAAAAGCAGAACAAAGCTATGTCAAAAGATGTTCCAGAGTACAATGCTTAACGTCAATACTGCGAGACGGTACATGTTGAGTGCGTATATGAAAGTCCCACGAATATTTTAATACCAGTTGTTCTGACCACCCATGCCTTTATTAACCCGTGCCCCGCTGGGCTATTCAGCCATACGCGCCCTGCTGGGGGGGGGGGCAGATTCTGCCCCCCCCCCTGTCTAACTTCCGAACCTATGGTCGTAGAAAGACGGGGAAAACGGCAATCGAAAGCTCTCAACAAGGCGGATCTTAAGAGCTCAATTTTTTGCTTAAGTAGGTCAGAGGTCAGGTCAAGGTCAGGTCAAGGGTACAAAATGCAAGTTTCTACAGTATCGGCCTTGCACCGTAGTTGCCGAAGAATGGACTGAGACTGATTGCCCAAAACGTGTTCTTAGACTACCAAAACAATATTCGTTGCATACAATGTCATTCAAAGGTCAAGGTCAGGTCAGGTCAGGTCAGGTCACCAAAAACAAAATATAGAAAAGGGCATGTGCGACACATGTTTTATGGGTCATTTTACTCATAGAATTCAATATGCACACTCAATAAGTGATATGGACCACCTCTGGATGAATTTCAGGTCGAGGTCAGGTCAAGGTCGGGTCAAGTGAGGTCAAATTTTGAAGTTGGTTGTTAAGGCCTAAAAAGGTGTCTATCTGATGCAGTTTTTCACGAGGAATCGAATGGTGCTATTTTTGTTTCCGTACGAGGTCTAGAACTTCAAAAAATATCGAAAATTTTGTGTGTCGTGACGTCATAAAAATTTGAATAAATCCCAAATTTTTGAACCGATTCTTCTAAAAATTGGTATGAAGGTGCACATAGACCACTTCTCTGACATATAGTCCGTTTTTTCGATACATTTAAAATTTTTGATTTTATAATTATTTTCCCAAAAAAGTCAGCTTTTTGAAGAAAAAAATTTGGGCCCAAATCCAAAATTTTCAAAAAACCGAGATAGCCATTTGATAGACAAAGTAGAATCACGTATAACCTTTTTTGTTACGTTTTGATTCCTATAGAAATGAAGATGTTAGCGGCGTTTGAAATTTTGCCGTTTTTGAGTCGAAAATGGCGAACATGACGTCACTAAAACGTCAATTTCTCAAAAAAAAATCCAACGGGTTTCGCTCAAATTTTCAGGAAACGTGTCAAATTGATGTATGATAAGGTACTGAAAGTTTGACGTCGCTGGCGTAACGCGTTTAGAAGTTATTGGCGAAAAACGGGAGGGGGGCAGATTCTGCCCCCCCCCCAGCGGGGCGCGGGTTAAGGCGCCGACATCCCCTCCCTCCGTTACCCGATGACACTGACCTCACTGACACTGGCACTAACCACTGTCTCTCGACTCTGACGATGACCTGGATAGATCCGGCAGCCTCTCCTGGGCCAAGACACTGACCTGGCGCCTGCTTCTCACGCTACCAGCCCAGGTGCTGTTTGTTTTCTGGCTAAGAAACTGTGGCTCTCTGACACTATCCTTGGGACCTGCTCCCCCTCTGGACACTGACCTGTGCCCCCTCCCCCTCCCTCAGTCACTGACCTGGGATCAGGGTTGTATACGACTCAATCAATAGCAATCAATTCAATCACGACAAATTTGGGAAACCAATCAAATCAATCAAGTCAGAGCAGTTTTCGGGAATTGATTCAATCGACTCAAACGCGACAATGAAAGGAATCAATCAACTCAATCAAACGACTCAAACCAAGATATACATTAGGTTTTTTGCCCCACCAACTTGGAAAAGTGTCCATAGCATTCTGGTGTACCTACCTACCTACCTACCTACAGAAGAAACAAAAATATTGTCATTTAAAATTATAAATTGCCATGCCATTCAAAGTTTCTATGTAATAAGGAAGGATACCTAGTGATGGACAGGTGGATCATGATATTGAGGTTCAATGGGTAGAATTGGAGCAGAAGTTTCATTTAATGGGTGCAAAATAACCCAGTAGTTGACTTCAACAAACGCCCCTTAACCCAAATCACCACCTTTCACCTAAAAGTTGTCAATTTAATTTTGGCCATATTCCAGCTAAGTCATCAGGCCATCTACCCCATGTAAAGCCCCCGTCTGTCTCTTATGTGAGTTATGCGGAGCTCTTCTGAATTGAACCCTGAACATAATGAACCTAGCTAGGTTACATGCCACACTGACACCATATTGATATGAAAGTGTTGAAAATGTGCTATAAATTTGACAATTTCATTAGGTATGCTTTATGAAGACATCAGGAAAGCAGGTAGGTACCTACTTACCTGCCTAGATGTGTCACTGGCTACCAACAGTACCAACGAAGGTAGATAGGTTATATGTGAAGAATTCAAAACATTTTATTGCAATACAATTTGAAACTGTTAGGACTGGGGGATAGGGATGAGCATTAAAAATATATTTAAAAGGAAATGGAAAGGACAGGGACTCTGGAACCACAGGATAAGTTAAGGACAAAGGAAGAAGAACAAGGAAAATTAAATGCCGTTGGTGCGACCAGGGTATGTGCGACTGCGAAAAAAACAAAGAAAACGTTTTGCCAAGAAGTATGCTAAGCTTTTATAAATCCTTATTCTTCGTCTTTTGATTTTTTGGTAAGATGACGTCATTGATTATCATGTAGTATGGTAGATCATCATAAAATAAATCGGTTGTACAACACCAATCTATATTATGAATTATAACATGTCTGTGCGTCCATGCCTGCGACTGTCATGCCTTATGTGTCTTATTGCGCCTGAAAGGCGCCGCGTATCGACGTGAAATTTGGCATGTCGAATCTGTGGGTTGATGTGACCTCTGTATTAAAATTTGGGACGGATTGGCCCAGGGGTGCGCCGTCAGCACGCGCTCGCGTGCGCCATAGGGTTAACACGGGAAACGGTCAAATCGACAATAAGGCGAAAACCCGCCTGCGGCGCCCGCTTCCCGGCTGTATAAGTCGGCAACGGGTGGGCGAAGCGAGAAGCGGTTTTCACTACTGGATAGAGGAGAGATTGAACTAGCGTATCGATATGGTTTCATAGCATAGCACGCGCCACGTGCAAAACAGAACCCCCGGTTGTGAAAAAATGACCAATTTCGTGCATTGTGACGGGAAAATCGATGCCGCTGGAAAACAGTTTAACGGAATGAAATCGGTGTTGTGTCATTTTGCAGACAAATGTACGTGTAATGATAGGAAAACAAATGAAAAGTGATGATCCGTACCATTTCTTTAATAATGAAAAATTAATTTGAAAATTTGATTCGCGCGGAGCGCATTGTCCTTTACAACGTCAAAACGTATTGAAAACGTTGATTAATCGCTATGAAACCTACATATTCGGAAAGAGCATTCTTTTCTGACCAATACCAACCCAAAGTATTATCGAAAAGTCAATAAACTTTCGTGAAAATAAGTCAAACATACGACCGTGTTTTGTTAACGTTACAGGTATTTTTCGACGAAATCCGATCGATGGCTTATGGCCGTCAGGTCATTCCACTTTTCACAATAGCTATCAAAGCATGGGCTGCAATGCACCGCCCGCAAAGGGGAATTCCAAACACTGAAAATAAGCGCCAATCAGTAAACAGCACATTTTTGTACTAGGAATAACTCAGCTACTACTGGGCCGATTGCTCTGAAACTTGGACAGTGGGTTGGCAGGGCACTCACCTGGCGATGCATGGTCATGTGTGACAGGTAGGGTGGATCGATTGCACGTGCGCACGTGAGGGGTCCACTTATACATCTCAAGAACGGCTGGGCCGATTTCGCTCAAATTTTGTACACCGTTAGGAACAATTTAGAAGGGTGGCTGGCACAAGTCATCTGGAGTCTCAGTTAGCGCGTGCGCACGTGCAGCGGGCCGCTTTTATATCTCAAGAACGGCTGGGCCGATTGCGCTCAAATTTGGTGCGTTACTTTAATCGAGTATGAGAAGGGTAACTATGTGTAGGTTATTAGTAAGGTAGGGTATGGGTAGGTTAGGGTAGGGGTAGGGTGGGTTTGAGTTCGATAAAGGCAAACCATGAGAAAGGCTCTAACAAACCCGCAACCAGCACCATCATACCATGCCGTTCAAGCAAATATCCAACTCAGACAAAATAAGACAAATAAAAATTATAACATTCCACACCCAAACTAATGCCCCCTCAAATGCATCTATCAAAACGCACAGTTATAGCGCAAAACATGCCATCTAGTCTATATTATGAATTATAAGATGTCTGTACGTCCATCCATGTGTCATGACTTATGTGTCTTAATGCGCCGGAACGGCGCCGCGTATCGACGTGAAATTTGGCATGCCGAATCTGTGGGCGTGGGCGGCCTTGGTATTAAAATTTGGGCGTGATCGGCCCAGGGGTGCGCCGTCAGCACGCGCTCGCGTGCGCCATAGGGTTAACACGGGAAACGGTCAAATCGAAGATCGGGCGAAAACCGGCCTGCGGCGCCCACTTACCGGCTGTATAAATCGGCAACGGAGGGTCGCAGCGAGAAGCGGTTTACACCACTCGATAGAGGAGAGATGGGCCTAGCGTATTGATATGGTTTCATAGTATAGCACGCGCCACGTGCAAGACAGCACCCCCGGTTGTTAAAAAATGACCGATTTCATGCATTGTGGGAAGAAAACCGATGCCGCTGGAAAACGGCTTGACGGAATGAAATCGGTGTTTTATCATTTTGCAGACAAATGTACGTGTAATAATAGGAAAGCAAATAAAAACTGCTGATCCGTACCATTTCTTTAATAATGAAAAATTAATTTGAAAATTTGATTTGCACGGAGCGCGATGTCCTTTACAACACCAAAACGTATTGAAAACGATGATCAATCGTTATGAAACCTACATATTCGGAAAGAGCATTCATTTCTGACCAATATCCACCCAAAATATTATCGAAAAGTCAATAAACTTTTGTGAAAATGACTCAAGTATGCGACCGTGTTTTGATAACGTTACGCGTATTTTCCGACGAAATCGGATCGGTGGCTTCGGCAGGCAGGCCCAGGCAGGCCATTGAACCGTTGACAACAAACGGTAGCGGAAGGCACCTCTCGCCATGGGAATTCGCCAGTAAATAATATATATTACTGACCGGGCCGACGAAATTATTTGGAAACGAGGTTTGCAAAATTGACGGAGGCCCGAGTGCGGAGCACGAGGGCCGGAGTCAAGTTTTGCAAGCCGAGTTTCCAAATAATTTCGTACGGCTTAGCAGTGCTGCCAGATTTGGAGGATTTCCGCAAATCTGGAGGATTTTGAACTCTATTTGCGGACAAATTTCGCTTTTGGAGGATTTTTGATTCTGGAGGAAAATCTGGAGGATTTGTCGCCCGATTATTACATTCAATTTCATGGAAAAATATAACACATTCAAGACTAAAAAGGCATTTTCCTGCCCAGCGTCACCCTACCCGTTAGGATATACCACGTCCTTTATCACCGTGAGACTGCAGAATGTTTCAGTCTGTAGCTATATCTACGAGGGTACCAAACTACTGACTGATCTAAGGGGGACATTTGGGGCAAATGCCCCCGGTACCCCTGCAGCGCCCGTAATCGACGAAAATTTTCGTTTTTGTTAAAGGGACCCTCCCACCTTCAAAAAAGTTTATGAATTGGCATGAAAGTGATGTCGCTCGGTTCAGAAAGAGCGAAAACGAATATCTACCAAATTTTACCGAAAAATATTCACCGGTTTTCAAGATATTAGACTTTTACTTTTGTTTACTTTTTGGGATCTCCGCTGTTCCTAGCGACTTTATTTGGAAGCAATAGTTTGGCAGCTGAAAGTGCGGCACTTGTTGCGCGCAAAGCAGCATATACCACCGCGTGCTACAAAACGTTTTAGTCAAACATTTAAGAATCGTTAGATATCTGCGTTGACGTCACACATTCAAAGGGGTATTCCTATGCATTAGCCCCTCTGAATCAAAATGCTGCAGTTTTGAGATTCAATATTTCCGATTTAAGGCATTTCTCGATGTTGTGAGTGCCGAAACCGGTAATTGTGAGCCAGGGACCCCATTTTGGCTATCTCAACTCAAATCTAATGTTAAGGTGGGAGGGTCCCTTTAAGATTAAACGAAAACTAAACAACCTTTATGAGAAAAAGTATCTTTTAATCTGCACAGCAGTGCGAAAGGATTCGAAATCCGGTGAGTTTTTAGAATTTGGTGAAACTTTTTGGGGGTATAGCCCCCCGCAGCGTCCAAGACCGCCTTTCTATATCTACCAATAGGATCTGGAGGAATCTGGAGGATTTTTGTAACTGATCTGGAGGATTACAGCCTTCCCCATCTGGCAGCACTGCGGCTTAGGTCAGTAAGATTTTTCCTACATGCCGCATACCTATTAAAACGTTTTGACAGGTTTTGGTGACACTTATACAATTGTTTTGTCCATAATTTCCTAACAGTGATTGCGCTTCTGCTGTGGATAAGGCTTTGAAGGAAATTCGTAGAAGAAAATGCGTCAAAATACCTTACTTCAAACGGAATCGTCTCTGAAAATATTACCTCAGAATGGCACAATTGGATATCCAAGAAGGAACATAATACATAAACGATTTGGCACGACATAAGAACAGGAAGAAGATATACTATTCCTAATGATTAAACGTGAATTTTCCTGTCCTTTTGCAAGAATGTTTACTTTCTTTATGTAATCCTGATTTGTTGATGCCCTATGGCAAAACTTTCGTGAAATACATTATATTTTCAATATTTCACATGTTTGTTTCATGGAAAGGACTACGACTATATCAAATAATAACGCAATAGCCAATAAATATAGGTATAAACTTTGGCCCAAGGAATCGGTAGACATATAAAACGAAGATAAGACAACAAGCGATAATGGATTTCGGTCATAGTTTTGGCTTTGTAATTAATACAAAATATTTCAAAGCCCTGATAAACAGAGTAGATATTTTTGTTCCCAGAAAATGTTAGTTTTCTAATTTTACGATGCAAATATCATGCAATTATGATGTCAATTATACATTCCCTGGGTCAATACCTCTGGGCTGATGCGATAGGCTCTATAGTTTAGAGGTCATTGCCCTGGGCAGTAAACCCAGGCAGTAAACTTTTGTTTCCTGCCCGGCCTATCAAATAACATGGCATTTTGACACCGGCAGTTTCTTGGTCATAGTTTTACTGCCCGGCTCGTGCTGTGCTTAAGACATACCCCGGCATGTAGGAAAATAAATTTATTCTTGCAATAACTCAGCCGCTGCCGGGCCGATTGTGCTGAATTTTGGGACTGTCAACGGGCACGTATCGAACGACACATTACCATATGTAGGGTGCTAAATGCTAATGCACGTGCACACCTGGAAAGGAACAGTTTCCTATCTCAAGAACGGCTGGGCCAATTTCTCTCAAACTTGGTACACACTACAGAAATCGTAAAATCAATTAAATACCATACAGTTATCGCGCAAACATGGCCATCTAGTTTCGTTTTAATTATTATTTCAATTGAACTAAAACCACTTAATAATATTCGGTAAAATATTTTAAGGAAAATGAAATATGTTATGCCTAGGCTCTCAGGAGAAAAGGATCAACAAACGTTCTGCTGCAAATTAAACAATGCAGCAAATTAGCTATTAATGTAAACGTAATTAGCGAGACGAAAACGGCGCTTTTGTTTCAGTTATTTTTGTAGGGGTTTCAGATATTTATAGAGTTCAGTGGGTTGTTTCTGAGGAGATGTGGAGATGTGAATTAGTAATTAATCACACTTTATTAGTATATAGGGCCTTGCACTTTATCATCTGGATAAAAAAAAATCCTGCTGAGTGCAGAAAGGTAGGTAGGTTAGGTGCATCGCCAGGTTCTATCACAGGATTGGAGCAGTTATTGCAGTTGAAAGTCAAAGTTGGCTGTTAATGTTTAGGCCCTGTTCTTTATTTGGCCATCTACTCCATATTGCAGTTGTGATGACAAGCAGTTTTCAGTGTAGTTTTGTGATCTTTGATGTCATCAATTGGTGTCCTTATTTTTCGTCAACTAAAACTTATTTCAACTTTCCATTCAATCGACTCAATCATACGAGTCACTCTAATTTTCGGGAATCAAATCAGTCAACCAGTCGCTAAAGTCAAACGAGTCAGTCAACCAGTCATCTCGAAAAGTCAATCGACTCAATCCAATCAACTCAAAATACGCGCTGAATCAAATCAATCAATTCAATCGACTTGATTGGTATACAACCCTGCCTGGGATCTATATATCCCCGACGCTGGCTGTGCCTCCCCGTCCTACCACTGACCTGGGACCTGGGTCGTGTCGCTGTCACCGCCTGAGAGTCCAAGTCGAATTCTTCCCAGGAGAATCAGCAGCAGCAGTCGCATGGCGCATCGCCAGCCTGTCTTCGTATTAGAGGTCTGCACCGGCCGGCTGCAGCCGCGGCTGGCTGCAGCCCCACGGCTGTGGGCCGGGGCGGCTGCAAATATCTCCAAGAACACGGCTACGGCTGTGGCCACGGCTGTGAGATTTCAAGCTCAATCTTAAGTACTCAAATATAAAATTTTAAATCCTTAATTTTACATTCTAATAAGCAGTCTAGCCTGTAAAAATCATGCAAAAGATACCCAGCAACATTGAAAGTGGTGAAGCCTTTGAAAACCTGTAATGGTTTTACCATTTGCTGTAGGGGAGTTTGCACTCTGGTAAAGAATACTAATTATAGGTACCAATTGTTCCTTCATCAAGAGCTTGACAGTTTCAGAAAATGCAACATGTTGCATTGTCACATCCCTCTCAAATCAATCTCACCTGGTCATTAGGAGAGCACCTTACAGCTATTGAAGACGAGCGTTCAATAATTTTTTTCAGGTAATAGAAAAAGAAATCACGCCTAGGTAAAGGCAGGTAAAGGCTTCATAAAATATTATCTAAAATAACTGTTAGATGTATTTCTGGATTTTCAGCAAGTCCAATTACATAATACAAAACTGGCGCTTTATGTTCTAACTGGTGTGTGAGTGACCGCTAACAGAAAATGCTGATCAACGAAGCCAATGGAATTAGATTATAAGTGAGCATGAACCTTACTTACGGTTAATTCACATGATGGTGAAAACGCTGAACACGTAATTCACATGACGTTGAAAACCCTGAACACAATATTTCTTACGCGAGCTGTTGACTTTACTAATAAAATGACGCCTTCTTCTGAAAATGTAAAAAAATTTGATGCTTTATCTTTGTTTGAGAGCAAATTTTTACCTGTAGAGCATTACTATTTATTATTTATAATTTTTATAACTGTTTATAGTGACTTAAAACATTTTATTGCCACTTCTTTGCTATTGACGTCATTGAAAACCCAAGTAAAATTTTTGATTGAAAGAGGCAATTGTGGCTCGCACGTCCTTGGGGATTTGAGCGAAGATCATTTGGCCTGTTCCAGCGCCTCCAGTAGAAATTCTTGACTGGAGGCTCTACCAGAGGTTTCACTGGAGGCGCTGGAACGCAATCTGGAGATTTCTGGAGATTGGTGTCACAGATACCAAAAGAATGACCATTGTTCTATCTTGAAACACAAAATTTGTTTTCAATTTTAGAAAGAAAGATTAACAAAATTATAGCAATGTTATTTTCTTTACATTCAAGTTCTAGAATTAGCAGTCAAAAGTCCTTTGTTTACATTCGTGATTGTCACATGTGCCCCATAATTGTAGACCAGAGCCTCCAGAGAAATTGGGATCTCCCAACTCTCTGGAGGCTACTGGAGGTTTCTGGAGCTTAGGCGAGAGCTTTCTGGAGCTTTCTGGAGGCGCTGGAACGCTCTCTGGAGAATTCTGGAGCTTTCTGGAGAATTTTGGAGCTTTCTGGAGCTTTCTGGAGGTTTCTGGAGGCGCTGGAACAGGCCCATTATTTGGAAAAATCAAAATAGATGAATGTTTTTCGTCATATCAAACTAATATCAAATTAGTTTGAGACTTGCTCAGAAGGCTGCTTCAAGCCTGGCATATCACACCCCAGAAAATATGCAAGGTAAGAAAGAAGCAAGAGTTTTGAGTTTTGACTAGACAATCACTGTTTGACAGTCCATCAACTTCAGTTTCATTTTCCATACCTAACATTGATAATGATAAGCATCAGGGTCTATTGTTCTGTCCCACAACCATGCTTCAGGATTTGGCATTAGACGTCTACACTGCTAGTGCTTCTATTCTGGTTCGTTGTTCATGTTTTCTGTTGATGTAGGTAGTTACCTACCTACCTACCCATCTTTCTTAACCCCTTGCAAGGGCTTGTGTAGGCATGCGTTGCGCATCAGGCTTCAGGTCTTCGGCCTAAAGCCAGATACACAACCACTTAACCTATGATGCTTCATGAGCTTGAGAATCTATAGGCCATTGCAATGTGCTTTTGGCTATATGTTTCAACTAAAAACTTATTATATACTATTTGGTTGCATTTCATTGAAAGTATCCACGGCCGGCTGACGGCTGGCTGCCCACAGTTTGCCACGGCTGTGGACGGCTGTGGCTGTGGAGCCACGGCTGCGGGGCGGCTAGGCTGTGGAAAATTGCAGCCGTGCAGAACTCTACTTCGTATCACCACAATAAAGACGGCGGGCCAGTCCCGTCTGCTTATCCAGGTCTCGCAGATTTAGTCGTCATTGGATCACAATTCCACTTGTCTTGTATTGATTTATGCTTTATTTATTCTTCTGGACAGAGGGTTTTCAGCTCGGCCGAGTTTTCACAGGCTGCCAGATGTCTGATGGAGGGATCACTGGTTGTTATATTTACATGACTAGTGAAGTCAAGTTGTTTCTCTTCTTCTACATCCAGCTTCAGGATGTCTGGACCTGAAGGAGAGATACGATGTTAGCGGCTCCTTGCATTTGTACAAAGCTAGGCTAGGCTGTTTTTATAAAACTAAATATTGCCCGGATGGCACAGCAGCCCAAAACAGTTAATGATTTTATACAGACTATCGTGGTACAATATTGCACAGCAGATACGATATCTTGATGTGTGGCCACAGCGTATAAAACTCGCAGCTCGACAGTTCGGAGCTGATTTGCAGATATGGCTAAGGATTATCTGCTACAGTTAGTTATAGTAGTGAAATGGAATGGGCATAAGTTTTCGTTTATCATCCGGCAGATAGCATTGTAAACTGTCGGCATGCGCTACAAAAAAAGATGTTTGCCGTCGGTGGTCGTTTGCAAAAAGTTAAGCATTCCCAGCACTCCGTCTCTTACAGTAATATATTTTTTATTTAAGTTTAACCCGGCAGGCGGTGGGCCTCCCGGCCACCTTCGGCGCGGTGGGGGGGGGGGGCATTTTTTGCCCCCCCCCCGTAGCTCCGAAACTACTAGACGGATCCGGAAAATTCAAACGGTGTTCGATAGTCCTGTCAAATTTGTCGAAGGAAACCAAATTTCATTGACCTCGGGGTCACCGATGATGTCACAGGTCAGGTCAAAGATAAAATGTTTCACCGTTCACGGGGCTTCTAGGGAAAGCGCTATAACACCGAGTAAAACGCATTTTGTCGAAAATCAGCGATAAGGCGTTAGTTGTCTAGTACATATGTTGCTATTAGAGGTCACTGGTCATACCAGGTCAGGTCATAGGTCAGGTCACCAAAGGTCACCAAGGGTCACCACATGAGCCCAACTTTACTAAGGTTATGCGATGCATGTTTTATGGCCAGTTTTTCATTTCCAACTCAATGGTGTTGGTTATAAGACCATCAGGTACGGTTTAGGTCACTTTCTGGTGGAGGTCAGGTTAAAGTCAGGTCAAAAAAGGTCAAATTTCAAAGTTGATATTTTTGCATAAAATGGGTATTGATTCGATGCAGCTCGTCACGGGGAGTCTAATGGTGGTCTTTGTTTGACGCTACGAGGTCTAAAATTGCTAAAATTTGAGTTTGAAAATTTGACGTCATCAATTTTGAACAGTTTTTTTCGCTATAACTTGGCCAAAAAAAGAGTTATCGATCTCAAATTTGGTATGTAGATAGAAGGCGGAAGGGAATATCACATATATTCCGTTTTTTTCGAAATTAAAAAAAGCTTTTTGGATTTTTCGGCTATTATATTCAAAAAATCTATTTTTTTGACTTTTGGGGTCAACATAAAAAGTCGAAAAACCGAAATAGCAGTTTTGTAACCCTCTTGATTCCAAACCTTTTATGTCTGAAATATTTCTCTGTATCTCTAAAGCTGTAGGCCTGACAGCTCTTCCCGCGAAACCTTTTTTTGGGTCGGAAATGGCAGAAATGACGTCACTCTGACGTCATTAGCGGCCAACCTATCATAGCCTTGGAAAAAAAAAATTGGTCACCATGTGCGCTGGCTACTCCCGGCAGGGCACTGAAAGTTTCGTGACGATCGGCGTAGCGGTTCTCGAGATATATCGAAAAAAAAACTAAATGGGGGGCAAGAAAATATCCCCCCCCCCCACCGCCTGAAAGGTTAATGTTAAAAAAGATGTGCAACATTGCAACCCTGCTTTTCTTAGTCCTTTGGAAACAATGATGGCGTTAAGAATTGAAAACCTAATTATTAACCAATACTTGAAGTCACATATGTCAAGATGAATTTGATTTTATTGTGCTGTTACTGCAGCTTGCACGTTGTATGTGAAGACACCAAAGTATAAATTACGGGCAGTATAAATACAAATACGGTTGATCAAAACTTTAATTGCTTGATAAGGGAGAAACGACTCTCAATTACAGCTATCCCTGAAACTTTTCATGAGGAGTGATACACGAGTCGTGTTTCTACTGATGCAACTATGTTCGTGTTCAGTGTTCACTGTTCAGTTCACTAATGTTGACATGTGTTTCCACTTCAAATTCCATTTCCATGCAAGGAACTCATTACGAAACTAGATGAACTTCATAAAACGAGAATGAGAGCACTAACGAGGATTTCAAATGTAAATCAGCGTCATCAAATAAACAAAACACTCTCGCGCTATCCTCCCTTCCAGGTAGACGCACCCCCAACGGTTTCAAACTACTCAGTGTCCTATGACACCGCATCCTATGAGCCACCGTGTCCTATGACACCCCGACTCCACCGGTGTTCCGTGCTGTATCCAATCGGCGGTCTAGGGTAGCCGTGGACGGCTCAGTTGAGCGGTCAATTGGCTGGGTCCGCCCCGGGGAGGCAGTCGGCCGAATTAGGCGCCCATTGACGACGGCACAGCGCCCTACCGGTGACGCACAGGGCACCGCGGAATGAGGCTGCGGAAGTTGCTCGGGTTAGGGTAGAAATATAACTGAACGGATAGGAGAGAGGATGAGAGGTCGTTTTGAACAGACGGGTCCACTCCAGGCTTGGAGTATATGGCGTCTTATGTGCTGCGAGAGGACGACGGAGAAAACGCCTGAAATCAGCCAAGCATCATGTAAAGTGCATGTGCAAATATGAATCTTCGAGTAATAATATTTTGCACCTTTGCCCTTCATCTTCTATTCAAGTGTCAATTGTTATGACCATCTATGCCAATGATGTGCGTCCAACATTTGAACAATTGTATTGCAGATTTAATATTTTTGTGTAGTTTTAGAATAACCACCAGACATTTAAATTCAGCATTCATTTGTCATGCATACAAGCAAATATAATCCAATCCATCATTCATACCAATATTGCAAAATATGTAATTT